GATAGATAGATAGATAGATGATAGATAGATAGACAGATAGATAGATAGATGATAGATAGATAGATAGATAGATAGATGATAGATAGATAGATAGATAGATAGATAGATAGATAGATAGATGATAGACAGATAGATAGATAGATAGATAGATAGATAGATAGATGATAGATAGATAGATAGATAGATGATAGACAGATAGATAGATAGATAGATAGATAATAGACAGATAGATAGATAGATGATAGATAGATAGATAGATAGACAGACAGACAGATAGATAGATAGATAGATAGATAGACAGATAGACAGATAGATAGATAGATGATAGATAGATAGATAGATGATAGATAGATAGATAGATAGACAGATAGATAGATAGATAGATAGATAGATAGATAGATGATAGATAGATAGATAGATAGATAGATGATAGATAGATGATAGATAGGTGGATAGATAGATAGATAGATAGATGATAGATAGATGATAGATAGATAGATATAGATGGGGGGGGGAGAGAGAGAAAGAGAGATCCTTAACATCCTCCTTTCAATGACCAACCTATACAGAGCATGCAGGGCACAGGTAGTCCTTGACTGAGAACGATGGAGGGCGAAAAAGAAGAGGGCGGCAGAGAAGGAGGGGGCCGGATGGAGTCGCTGAAGCAGTCGGCCTGAGCTTCAGTGGACTCTGGGAGATGGTAGAGGACAGGAAGGCCTGGAGGAACGTTGTCCGTGGGGGGGTTGCGATGGGTTGGACACAACTTTGCAACTAACAACAACAAAGAGCATGAGGTCGCTTGGTGGTCTCCCATCCAACCACTAACTGAATCAAGCCTCTTTTTAATGTCATTTTAATTCATTTTTAATTCTCAGCATAGGGAAGATTGATTGAAGGCTGCCATTCATTGTTCCGAACAGCAAAATGATCTAGAAAGAGGCTCTCTTCCCACCCACCCACACCCCCAAAAAACCAATATTTTACAAATACCTGTCAATTGTCTCTTCAAAGTAGCCACCTCGTTTTGGAGACTTCGGATCTCCGCATCCTTGGCCGAGGTCTTGGAAGGGGATCTCGCCAGAGAATCTGTGCAGGGTGAGTGCAATGAGACACAGCAGTCCAGGGAGGACGGCCTTACTCACTCGATCCGTTTCGGGGCTGGCAGCGTGCCCTGAACCTTAAGCAAACACAACGGGGTGCGGTGGCCCCACCCGCTAAGCGAGGCAAAATAAATCAAGCTGAACGTGTTGTGCAAATGAGGTTCCTGCGACTTGGGCTCAAACCTGATTTCAGTGGGTTGTGTAAATCCATTTAATGAAGAACCAGCGGAAATTCTCTTGAGTAGGTGGCGAGATTAACCTGACTCTGCACTCTCTCCGTGCTTAGCTTTCTTATTCCCAGGTCACCTGATCCCAAATTCCCTTGCCTCCAATGTAAATAGCCAATAAAGGCTAGGAAACCTTGATTTTTTTTGAGAGGATGGGGTGGGCTGGACTAGAAAACCTTTAAGGTCCCTTCTCCACCACCGCTTCTAGGAATCCTTGTGTTGTGGCAGACTCAGACAGTAAGGAGGTCGGGGAGGAGCATGGGCCAGTCCTGGAGTCTGGGGGAGGCTCTGCGTCGGAGGCAGAGATGGGGCCAGGGCCGTCTGACAATTATCAGCTGCCTTCGGAGTTGGAGATCAGTGGGGCAGAAGAGCGGCTGGAGCCTGTTCCCAGTGTGCGCATGTGCAGAGCTGCTAGAAGAAAGAACCAGGATCGACTGGGTGCTGGTGAACGGCTCCTCCCATAGAGGAGCGAAAGGGGAGTGGTGTTTGCAGGTGACAATTAGTTCAATTCCCGAGGGTGAAGATCTGCTCCTGACTTAAGTAATTGCCGCTACAGCGTGACGTTTGGAAGCTATCGGCCTGGCAACTCTCCAAGCCTGATAAGGTCTGTGGGTGTAATTCACCCTTGAAAGACTGTTTGCCAGGACTTTGCTGGATGTAAACAATAGGAATTCACATTATAGCTTAATAAAAAGGGGTTCTGTCGGGACGAGGACGTCTGCTTTGTCATTTTGGGAAGCCTAGGTCAGAACACCTTCCTCCTCCCGTACGGGTTACCTACCTTGCAGTTTCCGACTCAATTCCATTTTCTCCCGTTCCAGCTGACGGATCCTTTTCTCGAGCCGGCTGATGCTGGAGCTGGTGGGGGGCGACACCGGGGGTCTCTCAGGGAAGGGTCTGTGGAGACAGGGGGACGCGGAGCTCAGAACCAATTCCGGATCAACGGGACTCGGTCTGCACCAAAAGGGCGGGAAAAACAGATTCCCCTTTTTGAAAAGCAGGGCGGGGCACACGCCGTGGTGGGTTTCCAAATTTTATTCCCACTGGTTCTAAGAGCTCAGAGACCGCCCTCTGTATCAATGTTGGCGAGATGTGCCGGTTTTTATCTCAGCTGAGCCACACGAATCAGCTGAGGTAAAACACAAGGTAATATAGGAGAGGTAACGGCGGGGGTGGGCGGCGGGGCTAACCAGCGGTGGTATTTGCCGGCTCTCCGAACTACTCAAAATTTCCAATACCGGTACGCCCCATGATGGCGAACCTATGGCACGCGTGCCACAAGCCATTTGTGCCGGCAGGTGAGCTGCAGGCAAACTTACCTTACTGCGCAGGTGCACAGCTGATTTTTCTGCTGGTTTCAGGCCTTTTTCGGCCTCCCAGAGGCTTGAAAAAAGCCTCTGCAGGATTTGCAGGCCAAATAATAGGCCCGTTTCATTACTTCCTGTATTGATGGAAGAGATGAAACGGTCATATTATTCGGCCTGAAAAGCCTTGCAGAGGCTTTTTCCAAGCCTCTTGGGAGGCCGGAAAAGGCCTCAAACCAGCCGAAAAATCAGTGTGAGGCGCAGTGCAGGTAAGGGGTTGGCGGGTTGGGATTGCACATGCATGCTTAGGGGGCGTGGGGGGGGGCATGCATGCCATTCTGGGTGCTGCCTAACACATATGCAATTTTTGGCACAGGAGCCCAAAAAACTTAGCCACCACTGGGTACACCAAACTGGCTGAATACCACCTCTGGGCACGTGGGTGGGAAATCCGTGGTTCTCAGGAAGGGCGCCGTACACCCTTTCCAGGGTCATGTCCACTTGTGGTCCTGCTCACGGCAGCCAAAATTACTCGTCATCGGCACAAGTTGCCGTCGCAGTTAAAGTTTTCTACAAAATGATGCAGCTCTGATGTTTCCTGTGAATTCATGTAGGAAAACTTACTTGCTGGGAAACAGGCTTGGCCGGTTCGATGCCTGCAATTTGCAAACTTCAGCGAAATAAAAATATGGCGGGGAAAACCACCGCACTGTTGCGCTGTAATATAGGTAGTCCTCGACTTACAACCACAATCGACCCCCAAATTCTGTGGCTTAAGCTAGCTTTGGCCCAACGTACGACCTTTCTGGCCACGGTTGTTAAGTGAACCATTCTGACCCACACGGTCATTAAGTGAGTCCGGCTTCCCCATTGGCTTTGCTGGTCAGATGGTCGCAAAAGGGGATCGTGTGACCCTGGGAGACACAGCGATCGCTGTAAATAGGAGTCAGTTGCCAAGCTGACTCACGTTTTGATCCCGGGACCACAGTGGCGCTGCAATGGTCGTTAAGTGTGAAAAATGGTCATGAGTCACTTTTTCGGGATGCTGTAACTTGGAATGTTGCAAGTCGAGGATGACCTGCATTCACAACTAGCTCGATACCCCTACTTCGCTATGAAACTATGTGATCGGGCTTAGTTTTTGGGGAGGAAAATAAGGGTTAGCGTCCTGTCAGTGTGTGAGAGAGCTGAGGGCTGTTTGGAAACTGAAGCAGTATTTGCTGTGCGAGCAAGGAGACAGCAAGGAGCCTGGGTGTGGCTTAGCTCAACTGTTCTGTACTAAAGCTGCTTGGTGCTGTGAAACTAAAACTCCTCTGCTTGTGTTTTGCATTTGGAAGAGATTTCTTTTCAGGTGGGGAGGCGGAATAGAACGCCTTAGCATCAGAGCATGTTAATAATAATAATAATAATAATAATAATAATAATAATAATAATAATA